ACAGGTTTTACCTTATCATGTAATGATGTTTAATTGCTGTACTTGTCTGCAATGTAGGTAGTTGCAGGCCTGTAGCCAGCTTTTGCCAATAGTACAGGCCCAAGGTCCAATATTTCACTATTTTGCCCGCAGAAATGATGTTATTACTATTATTACCACCGTTAATGACCAGGGCTGAAATAGCAAATTTGAAATAGAAAATCTTACGCACTGAACGATATCACTTTTCCCGGGAAACATAGCCGGGCGGATAATGTCATTATTGCCCAACTAAAGTCATTAACGCCCGACACAATATTGCTCACGTCAATATAGCAATTTAAATGCCTTCTCAACTAGTACTAAAACCCCTAGAACAGGCCCTGCAAGGTGGTAATAATGGGCGTTGAACATTTGACAACTTAAATCACATGAAAAGTGTCCAGAAGTACAGAATGGTGAAAGACTGCATGATTTTGCAAGATTTTTTGGCTGTGGGGTGGGGAGTTTTCGAAGACCCCTTGAGCCCCACCCCCCTGGCTATGGGCCTGAGATGCTCCGAGTGTTATTGTGTAGTGATGTAAAATGTGATTTTCTCTCGTAGGTGGTTGTATTCATGAAGGATGTGCAGTCAGAGCAGGAGAGGAAACGACAGAAAAGGTTACAGGAACAAAGAGGTAACTGTTAACATTTGTTCATCAACATTATTATTAATTTAAATCTATTTTTGGTGAATACCGGTACATCTTTCACAAGTGATATTCCATGAAGCCCGGAAGAGTCTAGTGGAATATCATCTTGGGAAAGTGTCAAAGGTATTCACCAAAAATAGAATTGAATATTTGTTTTATTATTCACTGTTGTATTCCTCACTACATTAATGGAATAACAAACTATTGATGTCTAATTAATCATAGCAATGTACTCCCTGGGATATATTAAAATTAAAATTACACTTGACTAAGTCGTTACTGGTGGATATCGTTTGATATTCAATGGAAGTCATGTGACTTTTTTTTAATATCGCTTGTTATTTTGTGGACCATGGACCAATCAGAGAGTGAGGAATATGACAGTGATAATAATATTATATATGTGATTTATTTTTGTGTCACTTGCAGAAGTGGTGACATATTGTTATATTCTCCAATTTTTTTGTGGATGGCGGTTGGTGTTCAGCGTTTGATGGTCTGATCTGTAATTGGTATCTGTAACAAATGGCAGGTCCTTGTTTTAGTTTAAGACGTGCTTTATTATAATGTTCTTCATCCAGGAATCCCAGTCATATGTTTTTAAAGATAAACCAAATGATAAATTGTATTTGCAGAACTAGACGAAAAAAAGAAAATAGAAGATGAGAAACTAAGACAACAGAAAAAGTTAGAAAAGGCAGCTGAAAAAGAACGCAAACGTAAAATTTTCCTTGAGGAACAAGAAAGGAAGCGCCAGGAAGAACTTGAGGCTGCAACTGACCAATACCATGATGCAAATGGTAACAATTTGAAAATACTGTAAAAATTTGTACAGTAAACCTATTAAGTGGAACACCTCTGCAAGAGGAACACCTCCATAAGGGGATGTAAAACACTATTCTGAGGTACCAAAGGTGTTCCACTCGCAATGGTTTTACTGTAAAACCTAATTCAAATAACAAGTTTTTTTATGAATCTTGTCATTGCAATTCCAGGAAAACAGGGCATTTGCCTTCATTGAATTCACATGATAGAGCTGATTAACTTGAAGGCAGCCATCTTGTTTTCTGGTGGCCATTTCAGAGGATTTTTGATAAATCTTGACGTTGCAATTCCTTCTAGAAAAATATGAAATACATGGGTTTATGATAGATTACTAGTAATGATATTATACAATGGAAATCTAAATTGTCATATGATTTCAGAGACAAAGATGAATGGACATTTACAGAAGTCATCCAGTGGGAAAACAGGTACATATTTTCTGAACTTTTTTTTACAATTTTGCAATTTACTGTAAATATTTTTTTAATTTTAAATCTAAAATGCTATTTTACACATATACTGTCACTGTGTGATGTTATAATCTTGACCTAAATTTGCCCATTGTCTGAGGCTTAGAACAACCTGTAAGCTTTTAAATACATGTATTTTTTGTATCATGCAATTAATAGCTTAAATCCATCAAAGTAAAAAGTCGCAAAATTTCAAAATTATGAAAATATGACAAATCAGATGGTGCCAACCAAAATAACCAAGTAATAGTTCAAAATATTTATAATTTCATTTTATAAGAAATACAATACTTATTACTTACTTACAATTCTGTCTTTCAGGTGGTATATCATGCTGTGGAATACTATTCGGGCTATTATTTGGTCTGATCGCAATATTTGCCAGTGCCTATGTATACTGTGAAGTAAAAAACACTATGCCAGCCTGCGTAGAAGGTCGTGTTAAAGTCATGCAATATATTGAACTAGTTCAAATCAAAACTTTGGATCTAGTTCAACAGATCAAGGATAAAATGAAATAAATTCCAAAGTGACTTTTAAAATGGTTTGGGAATTTCTCGTAAAAATGTGATGAATAGTTGCAATGGCATTCAATAAGTTTATCATCAGAGAATTTTCAGATAAACTTTTTGAACACCCTGTACATGTATGTTTATGTTGGTGGAATTGTTATGCATTTCAAAAATGTATTCAGATAGGTATTATCACAGGGACTATCCAGGCTCCGCTGACATCAAGAGCAATGAGCTCATGTTAGAAGCGGGGCCTTGAGAGATATGATAAAATTGAAATCTGAAATTTTCTATGAAACTTTAGTAAGTGAAACTCTGTTCAACTTTATTTCATAGTACAATGGCTATTTCAATTGCAGGGTAACACATTATTCAACTATAACAATATTTTATCATATCTCTCAAGGCCCCGCTTCTAACATGAGCTCATTGCTCCCGGTGTCAGGGGGAATTTGCTCACGATATACTGGGCCTGGATAGTCACTGTGATTATAGGTAAGTTAAGAAATGTTTTACTCGGACACTTAGAAATTATGTTCAAAATATATTTTTGTTTTTTTATAAGTTGAACTTGATATTTACTTATGATATCATAATATCCAATTCAAATGAGGATAGAAAAGAAATATCTATCCAGCCCCATGAATTAACCATAAATTCTTACACATTATATATTTAGAACCTCAGTAGGTAAGAGATACATTGATTTACTCGTGCAATGTTTATCTTTGCACTGGTGATCCGCTCGGTTTGGGTTAAAAGTGCAGATCTTAACTGTTTTTCGAAAAACTGATACTGATACATGTTTGTGTTAAACATGTCGTGAAGATTCTGCCTACAACACATGAAATAAGGAAAAAAGAAAAATCGTACCTTCAACGTTCTGACATTTTGTTACCAAAACGAACCGTTTCGGTAACCAGCATAATCAAGTGGATCACCAGTGCTTTGGAAAATCAGAATTGTTGATGGTATAGTTTAGCCTTGTTTTAAAGGTCCCGAGAGTCCAACTAGCCAGATATCAGTTGGAAAATGTAATGCCATGACTCAAAGTTTAACACTCTGGATGGATACCTCCCTCCTCGTGGGGACGGGTCATTACGGCTTGAAGCAAAACTAATGCTATAATTGATTTCGTTAAATTACTTATTCAACATGACTAAATACAAATAATTTGTATAGTTAGTTCTGTTTATTTTCTGTTGAGCTTATTATAAAAAGATGTTATTAGATATGCTTCCCATTTGACAATTAACCTCAAAGATTCTATGTTTATCTTCTCAGATGAGGTTGGTGAATCTTAATACATGTTGGTGAATCAGAATACATGTTGGGTGGTCATTGTGTAATGGTCTGTAAAATGGTCATTGTTTAATTATTATGCTAATCAAGGAATAAATAAATTGAAATGGATACTGTCTCAAATTGTGTAGATAAGTTGCCATAATCTCAAATTTTGCATATGTACTTTAATGTTGTCATAGAAATCACTTTTATATGTTCAGGAATAGGGGAGTATGAAATTGTTATATTTTGCATCGAGAATAAATATATTTTCATGTAATCATGTGTTCGTTTTTATACATAGCTGATGGGAGGATAAAAACAATACCCAGGGTAAACATTGTCTAATGTGTCCAATATACTGTAATGTCATCCAAAAGTCATACAACAATAGTGATAAACCTATTCCATCCAAACCATTACAAGTAAAATCTGTATGGCAAATGTTTCAATGTTAATGTTCGTTTCAAAAGATAAAAGCAAGCAAGTCCATTTAAAACTAATTGTGTAGATGTGATGGATATTCTCGTCACTCTGGGTTTCAAGGTCATTTCTGAGGTAATGAGAAATCTCGTCACTCCAGGAAGTCAAGAGGTTAAATTCCCAAATTATGTTGATTGACAAGGCAATTTAGGTTGTTTTTCCTTCACAAGAAACTTTACAACTGCAATCTGGCAATGATCTTTTCATTTACATTTCTACTATGATATCGAGGATGATATTATATGATGTCAAGGATGATATCAAGGATTACAATAACTGATTAAGCTACTTATATCATGAGGGGGACATCAAGTAAGGAGTCAAATGACCAACTGAATAATACTCAATTAACAAAAAACTGACATTTTATAGGCATAGACAAAATTCACTTTATTTCAGTTGTTACAACATTGCACACTATGCATAACTTACAGCTACAATACATAGAGTAGCCAGGTAAAACTACATTCAAAAATAAATAGACAAATATTTCTAAATGGACAAACATTTATTCTGTTTATAAATAGCATTCATGATGCTGGTGGCATGATATTGTTTTACTTATTTACTAAAAACACTAAAATGTCTGAATAAAGGTTAGTTCAGATCAGATTTTATATGGCATGATTGATATTTTTATAATCAAAATTGGCATTAAAGGTGTGGCACTTAAGTAGACGCAATGTCTATAGCTATAGTCTCTGGAGGCTGTCTAATGGTCTATAATTCTATATATCTGTATATGAAGATGTTGCTTGTTACAAGTTAGAGCCTAGATGAAACCTCACATCAATCTTCATACACCCAAGTTGAGCTGCATGGGGTCCAGTCATTAAGTTCTGATTTGTCAAACCAAAGTGCAATTTCACGTTTGGCTGATTCTACAGCATCACTTCCGTGACATATATTTCTGGAAAACAGATGAAATTGATCTTTATTAAAAAATTATATGTGTTTGTTAATCAAGGATATTTATAATACTGTACTTCTACTTAATTTGGCAGATTTGCCGTTTTGAACATTTGTTGGCTACTTAATTTGGCGGATTTACACTATTACAATACAATGTACAAATGGTACCAATTTACATGGTACTAAAATTATTGGGGATTTTGGCAGGGACTTAATTTGGCAGATTTAAACAATTTAAAACAGCCGCCAAATTAAGCAGTTAAGTAGAAGTACAGTACACAAGAGTCTATTTAAAAGGTATTAAAGGACGATTCTCGGTTTGGAGAATCAAGTTCATCAATCTAAATGAGCATTATCCCTGCTTCGGAAAAATTTTTTTTTTTACATAATATAGATTTGAATGTCTTCTTTTGAATAGTCATAATTTAATTTGGGTAATATTTCTAGATTTTTCGCAAAAAAATATTAGCGCATTACACTGATGAACTTCTTTCCCCAAATCTTATTGAATCGGTCTAATTGAGCATTATCCCTGCTTCAGACCAATTTGTTATTTTTACATCTTGTAGATTTAAATGTCATCTTTTGAATATTCATAGTTTAATTTAGGGAATATTTCTATATTTTTCATGAAAAAAATTAGTAGCCCAGGAGACTGTTCTCCAAACCGAGAATCGTCCTTTATTTTATAATTTGATAGGTTATCTCTTCGTGCATTCTTGCATCAAAGAGCTCAAAAGCATGAGCCTTCAGCCCTGCAAGCTACAAGACAACATGTTAAAATATGGCACAGATCTAACACATTAATCCCTGCTAGCTACAAGACAACACAGATTAATAAATAACAAGCAGGTTGGAACTTGGATTTTAACTGCTTGAACTAGCTCCAGACTAGGCCATAACCTGCTAACTCACCTGCCGACTTGGATGCAATAATCTCCTCTGATGGTACCAGGCTTGGAGTCTTTGGGGTTGGTCTCTCCCAACATAACTCTTCCTGTTGCTACTGCTCCCATTCCTTCCCACACCTGCAATAACAATACATGAGAATTTTATAAATACTGTGATGAAGATAAAAATATTGCATATACAAGAGGAAAATTAATGTCACTTGTTTGAGGAATGATTCAATAGTAATAGATAAAAAAAATATGTACTATTCTTTTTGTTCACCCGTTATATTTAATCATATTCATTTTTCTCCTCACCTTTCATTTATTTGTAAAATTTCTCGAACGCTATATTTGTTTACATAATTTTAACAAATGATATGAACAACAATGAGCAATAAAACCATTGAAATCAATTAACTAGATAAATTGATTCAATTGATTAATTTACAAGAATAAATACATGGGTGAAAGCCCATGTTTCAAAGAATGTACCTTGCATGGCTTATCTCCCTAATCATTGCCACAGAGTGACTATAGGAAGGTTATGGAATATACAAGGTCATGCCCTCACCAATCCTAGGATTGGGGACAAAGTTGATTTACAACATTGTGGAAAGGGAATTCACCTCAAGTTCTGTGAGGAACATTCAGCTCCCATATGCCACACAGACAGAGCCACAATGTTAACCAGTTAACTGGCGACATATGGATGTCAATGTTGCTTCTATAAAAGATACACAGGTTCACAAAAATGGCCAATTGAAGTTGAGGGACATTCACGAGTAAAGCCCCGTAACTTCAATGTGTCACAGGCAGGGTGGCATAGAGATCCAATAAGAACATTTTTGCTATACCAGGGACCTTTATTATTTCACTGAATCATGTCCCCCGACAGAGTTCATGTCTCAATTACATTTTACATGTTTACATTTTTGATTATCTTACCATGCAGACCACTGGACCTGATCCCATGTAGGCGACGAGTCCTTTGAAGAATCCCTTGCTACTTAGGTCCTTGTAATGTTCTTCCAAGAGTTCTTTGCTGGCCTACAATATACATAATAATAGGGATTGTTTATACAGTCTTGTGCACTGGTCTAAATGTTCATACATGTTGTGTCTCTATTAGTATTACCGTTACAATAATCTATTTAGGGAAGGGATACCCGTAAAATGACAACAAGGTGGGTGAATTGACCATATTTCAATTTTCATCAGCGGTGGCGGTAGGCATATATTTTTGTGAGTCATCATGACTCAGGTAGTTTCAAAAAAGTGAGTCACAAGAAAAAAAGTTGAGTCAAAGCTATAAAAGTGTTTTTCTTGAGTAAAAATGCATACAAAATGTAGAAACCACATACAAAATCTATTTTTTGATTTTGTGCATACCTTTTATTGTACTCTTATAGCACATTAACAACTAACAATTAATTAATTAGGCAATTGCAAGAAAAATGTCACTATTTATCATCTGATTATCTGGTCCAGCTAGTCATGGGTGTGAATGGAGTGGGAGAGGAGTTTCTCCCTGTGTGGAGTTACACAAATTGGGGTCAAAGCGTTTCATGTTGAAATTCAACATTTCTGCAATCATTCCGAAGTCTAAAACGGCAATATATGTCCGACCACAATACTGGGCATCATTTAAATTTAATACGGTAGAATCTTGTAATTATAGCTGATCAAATGAAACCGAAAGTAGATTTGTTTTCATACCTAATTTATCATCATTACCCCCCTTAATGTGCGATCGACTGGATTTTCATGTGCCCATTATCTATCTTCATAGGATCAGCTTCAGATCTAGTGAATCGAAGATCTTAACTTGAGGGAGTTAATTGAAAATACTTGGTGAAAACTTACGATAGATCGGTCACTGTGAGCACCATTGATAAACCTACTGCGCATTACATCTGCGCATGCTGGTGAAGGGGACGGCTCAAGGAACTTAGCGAAGGAATTTTGCGAACTTGCGAAGGAAACTAAAGGTTCGTAAATCTAGCGTGTGAACATTCAAGGGAAGATTTTATGCGGTAATTTAGATAAATATACGATCACTAAAATCCTTAGAAGGGAGTATGAAATTAATAAATTATTGTTCAACTGTTCAATGTTACGTTCGTTTTATTGCATTTTTGATATGCCCCCTAGCAACGTGCTTCACGAGATAAACAAATCGAGGGATCGATCAATGTTTTCAAGTTTATCATTGAATCTGAATCACAGGGCTTTGAAAATTATATGAAATACCGAAATGAGAAAATGATCGGTAGGAAGGAGGCTCGATTGCGCTGAACGAAATGTTAGATTTCCGGAATTAGCAAAATTATAAATTTGATCAATCATGTATGTTCACGTATAGGGATCAATTTAACCAAGTACCAAGCGGGGATTTTGGATGTGAAACAAACGTGCGTCAGGAAAGACTCGGTAGACAATGAATATTTGCGTCAGAGTTGCAAAAATATGAGTAAAAAACGTAAAAAATTGCGTTAACGCCACCTCTGTTCATACTTTTCACTTCTGGTAGTTGATACTTGATACACTATGAGCTATGAGGCCCGTCCACCAGTTGATAGATCTATTCTTATCGCATCCTACGACCCCTTTAGATTGTGGTTGTAGGCCCGTTTCATTCGTAAGCCTGTCTTTCTACAATGTCGGAGAATGAACTACGCATTGCGATATTAAATGACCTACCTCGATACATTCCAGAGTATTTTAAAATTCTTTTTATGTTGTTAGATCGCCAATTGTATGGGCTTATCGTCAGAACGAAGAGATTTTAGTTTTTACATCGGAAATATCTCAGCAATTTTCAAAATGTCGGAAGGGGAATTCCCCAGGGATTTCCCTTATGACTGGTGCATGCCGGGAACTGAATGGAGGAATTTGACGGTTGAACCTACACGCAAATATTGCTATCAAAAACGAAAATATCTTCGTTCTGCCGATAAACCCATACAATTTGCGATTCAACTATGTGAAAAGAATTCTAAAATACTCATGAATGTATCGAGGTAGGTCATTTATGTGTGCAATGCATAGTTCATTCTCCGACATTGTAGAAACACAGGCTTACTAATGAATCGGGCCTACGACCACAATCTAAAGGGGTCGTAGGATGCGATAAATCTATTCGACTGACTGCCCGAAGAAACAAACTATTCAAAAAGTTCTGAACAACAGTGCGCGAAATAGACGTCCGACATCGGCCATTGGCCTGACAAAATTATAGATGGCTTGTTTTGATAAAAACACCCAGACATTTTGGCCTGCCAGATATTTGTGGCATTCGTTAGATTGTCCATGAAAAGAACTCACATTTCAGTCCGGAAATCCTCCGAATTCCCAGCGATTTCGGCTTATTCCATGACTTTTGTTGAAGATTTAAAAAAATTTCAAATATTTTTGTTTTCGTACTGAAGCCCAAGATATAACGTGACTTTTGATTGGCTGTTGTTGTTTGTTGAAATTACGGTGATTTTGATTGGCTATGGATGACTCATTTCTTCATCGTCGTTCGCAAATCGAGTGCATTATCAGTATGCCGGATGTAGAAAAGAAATTGAAAAATCGAGCCGGCATCTAAGTCCAAAAAGTCGGCAGTTTGGAAGTATTTTGGGACTCCGATATCACAAGGTAAACGAATTGGTGATAGTTCACCATGCAGATTATGTGAAATGCCGATCACATTTGCGGCAGATGCTTTATATTCGATTTTAATTGACGTATTTCTGAATATGATTTTGAAAAGTGAAACTGAAAGTGAAACTGTCATCATCAGACATTGTATCATTTTTAATGTTCTGTCCCGTCCTGTCCCGAAAGTATCGTGTCCCGAGACCATTTTTACCGTTCCGTACCGAACCGAAATTTTTTTGGACCATGACACCTCTTATATATACCTTGAATTTTAGTCTGTTAGTGAAGTCTGTGTACATAGTATGTGTTTTTGAATACCTTGAAGCTTCTGAGAGCAATTCTAAACCGACCAAAATCAGTACAATTTAGTTTGATCAATATGTACAGTGTACATGTTCCTCATGTTTTTGTAAGGTGAATCTAGGGGGAAATCAACACACCCAGGCTGTTGGTTAAGTCATCAAGTACAGTATAGTGGATAATACATGACATGCAATGGAATTAGTTTTACTTTGTTAATATTGTACTAAACTAAATCTCATTTTAGAGTGGTTGTGGAGAAATATGGAAAATGAAATTTTTGGCCAGAGAAGTAAGAAACCGCCTGCAAAAAATTGGCCTGAGAAAAAATGATATGGCTGGTTAAAATCTGGCTGGCCTGCCAAAATGTCTAGGTTAAAAAAATCCTTATTTCACGCACTGAACAATATTTAATCTTTATCAGAAACACAATTTACATGGCCTAAAACATAATCCGAGACTTGGTGTTTATTTATTGTACACTCTACTTTTATGTTCTTATGATCTTTGAGTCAATATGTTTCACCTTTCATACTTATTGACCTTCATTTCGTAAGGAGTCATTGGCTACGTTGAATTTCCGGTTTAGGCTACATTTTTTCATATCAAAAGATGAAAGCAAGCAATGTATTTCATGAATTTGGTTTCATAAAAACAATAACGTTCACTAAGTTTACAATATTGACAGACTACTCAGTAACACCAGTAGCCTAGAAATGAGAAACATGAAAAAGGAGACAAAACAAAGTGAAAAACAAAAAGATGGAAAACTCACGGTTTTTTGTTTCATTGCGACCAATTTGAAGCCTTTCTCCTCAAATCTGGCAATGATTTTGCCGACGAGTCCTCTCTGGACAGCATCAGGCTTGATCATGATGAAGGTTCTTTCTTGATTGGCCATGACTGCGTTAGAAAACTGTGAAAATATAGAGAGTAAAGTGGCAACCATGTGAACCCTTGCCGGCAGAATGAAAAAGAGGCTGATCGGTCAACGTGACTTTGAACGCCACCTATTGGATGTGTTTTCAGTTCCTTTGGTTGTGCTCACGGGTTGCGCTGCATGTGACAATAAATATACATGTAGCAGTAGGCCTACGTAAACATAAATAAACCCATTCATCATATCTAAATTATTGTATAGTACTATAATGATTGATTCTTAAATATTATAGAAATTATATGCAGAAATAACAAGCAAAACGATAGAGCCTGATAGGACACTATGCGACTACTCACCTTTTCAGCCTCACGGAGTGATTTCTTCAGGTTCTGCTTATACTTCCAATAAACACATATATTGCAGCATCCCATATCTTCTAATACAAAGGAAGGGCAATTAATTTTAAAAGTGTGGTATCCATATGGTACCACACAATCACCGACACACTTTCTTATGTAATGTTATTGTCAGTGAGACCATGTTTGATTGTCTAGTTTATTGGTTTGATTGTTTTTTGTGCTGATAGTAGATAGGAAATGACATGTGAAATGTGCATGCACACCCACATGGAAGAATAACAATAATTAAAAAAGCATCGTCATCTTGATATAAGATAAGACTTTTCAAGGGCCCGTAGGCCAGGCTGTGGGGGGGGGGGGGTTAGGCGGTTTTACTGAAATAATTGTACTGAATTGCCAATTTTTGATGATCATTTTTGCTTGTAGTATTGCATTAAGTGGCAAAATATATGTAGATACCACAATCAAAATCTACAACATCTGTTATATTAGGTAGACAAAAATTGAATTGAATTTATTTTTAATGCAGTACAACTGTGAGTGACATGCGTTGTACCATGGGCTTTTAATTAGTTGAAAGCCCTTGGTTGTACCTTGAACAATTAATTGCATTTAGGCCTCGAAAACATATGGCATAGAGATCAGGCCTCCTAGAATTCCAACGCGAACATCAAGTCTGACCTCGCAAACTACATTCCGTGCACTCTAACCACGATTCTCACATCGCGCACCATCATTTTCTCGCTCCCGAACATATTTCTCTAATCCACTTGTACATAGTTATAACCAGGATCGTTTCAGAGTCCCGGGAGAACGAAATAAAGTGCTTCCAAAAGAACCATCACATTCTGATGGCAACTGAATTTCAATTTCTTATTTCGAATTCTTGACTGGACCATCGTTAAAACTTGCATATCAATAAAATTCCGTTCCAAGACATTCTACTAAGCTTATAGTCATCTCTGAAAGTTGCGACCGCTTACAATCAATTTCCAGAAAACTTCAGAGATCTTTCAGTTCTAGGTGGAATAGGCGACTTCAATTAAAAAGTTGATGATGAATGCATGTAGTTTTAGTTGGACAAAAACTGATCCGATGAAAATAGATGGAGAGAAGGATTTACGACTTCAACTTCATATGAACAAATGATTGATTTGCTAACGTCTTGACGTTTTATATGTGTAAAATGCCATCCTTTGTCAAAGAAAGAGCAATGGTTCGAAATGTGATTGTACTTATCTTGTCTGTGGACAAAAACCGATGAAACTTTGATCTCGAAAAACGGCTACTCTTCTACGACGGATCTCGTCTCACTAGTGACATTTTATCCCGTGCCAGGACAAAGTCCTAAGTGACATTGGTAGTCAACCGTACATGTCGCATCTCCATCCTAGAATAAAGCAAAAATCCAGTTTAACAACTCGTGTTTGGTAGTCTATCGCGATATTGTAACTTTAACCAATTCTTGAGTTACTGTAAAATGAATGCTTTTTTTCAAATCTGGATCTCAAGATTTGCCAAGACATTGAAATAATTCTGAAATCATGGTGAGACAATTTTATGCGAGTTGGGATCGCTTTTCCTCCACTGTATTTCTAACTGTTGAGGATTTAAAAACACCCAACTTGGCAACTTTACCTTAGAAAACCAGCCCAGGATTTTCAGTAGTTGAAATATTTACTGCTATTTTCTAAACTACGATTCGTCTCATATGGTAAGGGAATCATAAAAGAACTTCAGATCAGGAGTCAAATTATCAAGGCCCAATGAATAATACTCCTGCCTTTCACAAAAAATCACTTTTAGGTACAGAGGAAATTCGCTTTATTTCAGTCGTTACACCATTGCACACTATGCATAACTCACAGCTACAATAAATAGACTAGCCAAGTAAAACTACATTCAAAATATATCTAGACAAATATTTTCTAAATGGAAAAATGGAAATCCTTGTGGGTTCTCTTGTTATATAAATAGCTTTCATGATGTTAGTTGTATGCTACTTGACTGATACAACAATATAATGTCTGAATCTTGGTTAGTTCACAGCGCCCGTAGTCAAGAAGGATGGGGGTCGAGAGGACCTCTAAAAGTGGAACACCTCCCAAGTGGAACAGGTTTTATTGTAGCTGATTGTTCCGAGTTAGGAGTCTAGATCTGTTAATGTCGAATCTATTCATATATCCAAGCTGAGTTACTTGGGGTCCAGTGGCATAGTTCTGAATCGTCGAACCAAAGTGCAATTTCATCGTTGGCTGATGCTACAGAATCACTTCCGTGACATATATTTCTGGAAAACAGATGGAATTCAATTAATCATGTGTCCGATATCATTTGCCATTTCAAAACATGTAATAAATCATCCCTTCTGGCCTCAAAGGGCTCATCCTGGTGTAAAAGAAATTATGGTCCCCTAGGGATTATGGTCCCCTTTCTTAAAGTCCCTTACTGGCCCTGATTGTGGATACGATAATAAGGGAAAGAGTTGTATTTAGGTCACCATATAAATCAATGGAGAGTAGGACCATAATTTGAAAGGACCTCCTACCCTTTTACACCGGCAATATCAAAATTGTATTGCACTTAGGTTAAATTAAAATCAACAATATACCCCAATTAACATTTCCTATCATGTGATCTGCATTCAACGAGGGGGCTAATTCTCGTTTTCCGTTATATTTTAAGGGAATGCATATTAAACATTTAGAGAGTTACACTCCCTTCTTTCTTGTATCATATTTGAATCTTCAACTTTAAAAAGGGTGGACCAAATTTCCGTTGATGCAATGTTAAAATTCTTTAAAACTTTAGCATACTTGTTGAACGTGCAAATTAATCATGATTAATCACAATATTATACATTAAGGGACTATTGCGAGTATCTACCATGAAGCCTATGGCCAGTTAGCCTACAAGACACCACCGATTATTTTTATAAAAATCATACATGTAGGCTATGGCATCGACTGATCTGAGACCTTAATTCCACTGGCTATAAGACAACATAGATTAAAAGACATAGCTGGGATGTTAAACCCTGCTTGACAACACATATTAATAAATAAAGCAGGTGTATTTTAACTGCTTAAACTACGAGTATCTCTAGACTATCAGGATATTCGACTTACCTGCCGATTTCGATGCAATAATCTCCTCTAATGGTACCAGGAAGGGATTTAGCGGGGTCCGTCTCTCCCAGCATTAGTCTTCCCGTTTTCACTACCCCCAATCCTTCCCACACCTGCAGTAACAATACATTAGTACCTTATAAATACTGTTATGAAGATCGTACCTATATTTACAAGATGAAAATCAATGTCACTTATTTGAGGGAAGATTCAACAATATCATTAACGATCATTCATCCCTCGTATTTAATCATTCCGTTTTCTTTTATTGATAAATGAAAAGGGGATAATTTTGAAAGTTGTTTTGTGTTATCTAAAACATATTTGAATTGTCATAAAATTGACGATTCCGTCATAGACTGTACTGCTAACAATAGCTATCACCAAAATATACTGGAGTGCAATGAGACGCGTTAAAAAGTTCAGTCTAGCTACAACTGAGCCCCTGTGACCCCCTCCGACTACTTGACGAGCCTACACTTGCAATAGACCGTGTTGAATTTGATCTAAGGCAACCCTACGGCGGCCGTATCTTCACAAAATCGATATAGAAAATCTACATCGCAGTGCTTATCCCTATATTTTATGCTGCATATTCCTCTAGATCATTGGGAAGCTACGGTGGCAGAATGGTTGCCGTAGATCCTCGTGCTATCTTCTGTATGAAGACCGAATGGTAGTCCTGAAAATCGCGGAAAAGGTTTTTGGGTCCAATTTCTAAAAGGCAGAATCCGATCTCATGATCCTTTCTTAAAATCTGACTTTATTGACGTGCAAAACCCTAATGAAGGTTAACAAGGCTATGAATTAGCTTGTACGGAATGATTGTTTGACCAACTATTAAAAAATGTAGACTTTTCCTCAAGGTTCAACTTGAATGGGACGGGGTAATGCTAATGTAGTAATGATTATCTTACCATGGCGACCACCGGGCTTGTTGCCATGTAGGCGACCAGTCCATCGTAGAATTTTAATTTCTTCAGGGACTCGTAGTGTTTTGCAAAGAGTTCTTTGCTGCCCTGAAATATACAAATAGAGATTGCTTAGACAGTCGGGTTTCAATATTCCTACATTATGCGTCTACTATAGTAGGCATTAGGAGTTAGCTTGCGTATACAATCGAAACGCCAACGTTAAGGTTGTGAAAAACATTGCAAGCTTAAACTCCCTAGTATCTGCAAGGCATAGCATTTACGATAATCTAAAAGACGTCCGTCAAATATCAACGAGTTTGGTAAAATTGACCACCCTTCAGTTGATATTCGATGGACTATTTGGACTGTCCCTTTTGCGTTCTGTACATAGATGTTGGCCAGATCGTTTTGTAGTAGGACCTCATACATGTAGGCTAAAAGAATAATACAGGAATATTTATTGAGCTGTTGATCCTACAACAAAATAATCTGGCCGGGATCCATGGTTCTGCACAGTTTTTGATCTTTCTCAAGATGAAATACAAGACTAGTGTCCATTTCACTTTTTTGCTCAATCAATAAAATCAAAAATAAATGGGCAATCACATTGCAGTTTCATAAAGAAAATACTTTTTTGCAAAAACTCACGATTTTTTGTTTCATTGCGACCAATTTGAAGCCCTTCTCCTCAAATCTGCAAATGATTTTGCCGACAAGTCCTCTCTGGACAGCATCGGGCTTGATCATGATGAAGGTTCTTTCTGTCTTGTCACCGGACATGACTGTGTTGGAAAACTGGAAATACAGAGAGTAAAATGGCAACCTATTAGGCCTAGGAAAAACATACTCACGTGACATTTATTTACTTGTAGCATGGACTCCATGCTTGTAGATGCTGTCGCACTCGCACAAATGTCTGGAAACAACACATAAGTGAATCAAAGCATCCAGAATACACGGGAGTCTGACTTAAACGCGACTTAAAAATAAAGAGACAGTGGTCCGGAAATAGTACGGACTTTCGATATACTTGGGCACGATTTCTAAAAAAAATCAAAAGATTCCTTTTCGTGACCTTTTTAAAAGTACAATTATTAACTATTTTAGTTAGGGCCATGTAAATGATATGTGGAACCAGTAAAACACCCTTTGTGCAAATGTGTGAACGATAAAGACCATATATGAAATGAATTATGTATTCTTGAAAATAATTAACGTGCAACTCTAATGATAAAAATTCCAAACGTACAAAGCTGCTCCGTTAACTACCTCGAGACCTTAAGTAATTTCATTGTGGCTCTTAAATTTTATCATTTGAGATTCTATAACAAAATCGTTGTTATGTAGTATGCTTACCAGGATGGATAAGACCGGTCAATTTTCTAGTTATTATCTATATTGTAAAGAAAAATTATCACTATTAATAATCTTGGGTACTAAAGCGCATTTGGTGCAAAAATGAAAGATTTATAGTAAAATCATAAATGCTTGTGAGTACTTTGAATTTGAAAAATAAGCAATCAAATGACCAAATTGAAACAGTTTATGTAAAAATAGAAACATTTATATTCATCCTAACTTTTGTATATTTTAGTTTGTTTTCTAGTTTAGCTATCATATCTGTGTCCTCTTATATTTTGATACTTCTCTGCCATGTTATTTTCGGAAAAATAAACATGGCCGAGACTCCCTAAATAACAAAAAGCCACAGCTTTGCTGCACATTATACATTACTATCTGAAATATACAAAAGTTAGGATAAATACAAATGTTTCTATTCTTACATAAACTGTTTCAATTTGGTCATTTGATTGCTTATTTTTTAAATTCAAAGTACTCACAAACATTTATGATTTTACTTTAGACCGTGTTGAAAATGAATTACGTTCATCTGAAAAGAGCACATGGTCATCAAAGATGGTAGAAAGTGCAGTCGGACCTTAATTGTTTGGTTTAATGGACTTATCTTGATGTAATGCTTTTTTATTTTTTTCTATTTTCGAATACCACGATTACTTAATGAATATTATTTTAACAACTTTAGGCACTTACCCGCTATTGTTTAAATCTCGATGACTAAACCAAAGCACGATTTTGTCCAGATGGATGTCAACTGGTAAGCCTGTACTTCCTAATCCACGTTTTTATTCATCCAACCAGACTAATTATTTGTCGTCGAGCGCATGGACAATCCAATATGCAGCATGTGGCTTTTTGGCAAGCTTTAAACAACTCCTTCGTTGACTTGGCAGTATACTGAAAAGTTATTTTTACAAAAGCAAAATCAGATTATTAGTACTAACATGTACAGGTATAGCAATTTTTTACCAAAATATTATTTTCCAGCTGTACCTTAAAACGTAACAAAAACAAAACAGATGAATCTAGAATTGCACGACTGGGGTGTACTCGATATTATAACATACCTATGATGATGTATAGTGCAAAGTGTAAACAAGACAGCGGGCCAATATAAGTTTTGAAAAGCCCACGCCCGCTAACTTTCTAATTGGTCAAGGCGCTGACGTCATAACCAATCAATCGAAGATAAAACTGCGCGAGCAATTTTTCTAAACTCATTTCAATCATTTTCAAACCATTTGTTTGTCAATTCTATAAGAAAACGGTACTCCCGACCAGTCTACATCATCATAGGTATGTTATAAATCGTTTATGTCACTATCGTGGCACATATGCCCTCGGTTCTCAGAGATCAATGTCCCTCCCAAGGTCGGGCCATATATCACCCAGACCCCGGGCATATATGCCACGATAGTGACATAACCTCTAATTATTTGAAGCTATTCATGATTATCAAAATTAGTTATCCTTTAATCTACTACAAAAAAATGTAAAATTAATGTCTACATAAAACGTCTTTTGAAACATATAATAAAATCTATGCGAGACAATATTAGGCAATCGGTTGTGGGGTTACGTCCTTGAAGTGGCCGGGGACTTTTTGCTCGAGATGGTAGTGGACTTGGCCCGCTGTGGGGGTTCACCACTCCTGGGACCGGTGTGAAAGAAATGATGGTCCCCCAGGGATTATGGTCCCCTTTCTTAACGGCCCTTACTGGCCCTGATTGCGTATAAGATAATGAGGGAAAGTGTTGTATTTAGGTCACCATATAAATCGATGGAGAGTAGGACCATAATTTGATAGGACCTCCTACCCTTTTACACCGGCTTCTCGAGATGGGCTTGGTCGACTGTGTTCTCAATTCGCGCTACGCTTTTCAGTCGCAACAACACCCACAACGGACTGTTGTAGGTTCACAGCTCACGCATCTATATATTTTAAGTTGCTCATTTGTTTCTAAATCATGTGTCGCATCTTTAATGTTGGAATTGCTTTTCCGAAGATGCGCCCAGTCCAGAAACAAAAGTCCGTCTTTCCTAGAAATTGTGCATAGACCTACCTACTCGTCGTTTCTTTTAATGTCGTCTGACTGATATTATCAGTAGTCACGCAATCTAATGCCTGGGTCACATTTGCTCCGATCCATCGCCCGGCCGATTGAGTGTTTTGTTCAATTTCGAATAAAATACTCAATCGGCCGGGCGCCGTAGTGCAAAATCGGAGCAAATGTGACCAAGGCCTAAGTGCAGTCCCTTTCAGAACTCATTGTGTTTGACGAATTTCATCCAATCATTTGGTAGTCAGTGATGCTTGCTAGGACGCTATTGGTTCACTAGATTTTTGGATGAATGTGTGTCTCGCGTTCGAGTTGCGTTTATTGTGCATCGTTAAGTTTTGAAAATGAAATTTTGAATGTATAAAATGTAGGTGTTGCCCGCATGAGACAAAATTGCGCCACTTCATCGTGTCAAACGCTGGTGGAGCCTCATCACAGTGTACGTACCAAATTAAGCGTGACAGTGACGGTACAACACTACGACGAGGGTGATGCAATTTGAGCAAACTGATGTATTCATCGTTTCAGAAAGATCTGGTCTAATTTCTAGATATTTTTACTATATGAATGTCTGTAGCAATATCCTAGACAGTGAACTTGACGGTGAATTTCATAATTGAACCTACACAAACTCCGAAATGTAGTATACGGCATAACGCGCGGGTAAGATACGGTACAAGGCAAATTCCAATTCCTTGTGTTGTACCTTACCGTTACCGCGGGTTAGTTTGTGTAGGTTTAACTATGACATTCACCGTCAAATTTCACGGGGGTAAAGCAGACCCGATGATGCAATGAGCTTGCTCGGCGGTATCATGACTGTGTAACGGGTCTTAATGTATAAGTGTGCTCGGCGGTAGGTTCAAACAACGCGGATCCTCAAAGCATGTGCTCATGGTATATTCGTGTTTTAACACCCGTGAATTTACTGTTGAGGATGTTGTTACAGACATTTACATATCTAGAATATATATGGAACATTTTGGCACACATGTAACTCATGTATTTCAAACCGACAATATTATTTGAATCACAACATTAATATTCATCATCATTACACAAGACAATTGCATTATTTTCATATCCCTAAATGCTCTAAACTTTCCCTTCGCTATCAAGGTCCTAATCTTTGGAATGCTCTACCACATGATATTAAAAAATGCTCCACTCTTAATATTTTCAAATCTTCTTATAAAAACTACTCATCTATCGATAATGTATAATACCAATCAGATCATACTGTATTGTTGATTTTATACTGGTACCTGATTTTTTGTAACATGTTTATATTGTACATCCTTAGATAAATTGTTAATGCCATTTTTATATACCTACATGTAACATAATATAAGTGTTTTTCTTTTATATGTAGTCTAGATGTCATTTTAATAATTTCTGTTAAACCGCAACATATACCCACTAGGGTAAGAATTATGAAATAAATAAAATTGAATTGAAAAATCTATTATCTCACAATATTAGCAGCCATTTCCAAACATAGACTTTGAATACATTCTGGCTAACCAGATCTACTCTACCTGCCGCTTGAATAGGACTCTATGGAAGTTTAAGTCAAAGGTGCGCACTGTAGGTATCGCGGGCCCAAACCGTTTTGACGAGTTGACGTTTTGACCCCTCGAATGGGGTTCGTAACGAAGCTCGTAATTGCTCGTTTATTTTGATGAACACTTTTTGATCGATGAAATAAAATACAGCATACTTGAGAAATTACATTTCAATTATATCTAATTGTGGCTTAATATGTCTTCAATATTTTCAAAAGATATGCATGTCTGTATCAACATATCGACTTTTACAAAAAGCTTACTTTTCTAAAACATGAAGCCATCTTTAAAAATAAAGCCCGAAAATAATTTGTTTTTTAATTGTCGTGACAGGAAAACAAAAGACAAATATTAGAAAAGTATAATATAGTGTATTATATTAAACGTTTATATTTGTCATGTGTTACTTATGTTGATACCATGCTCTAACACTCTTGACAAAACGTATTAACAAAATATTTCAAAATACAGGCATGCATTTTAACAATTAGAAGTGGATATTTGAACGCAAGGCTTCAGACATCATCCAATATGCATCGTGGAATACCATGGCCCGTTCTTCTTGCATCATACAGTCATAGATCAACGAGACACAGACAGGATTTAGATGCGATATGTATCAGAATGTCAAATATGTAGGAAGGAAGAAACTTGTGGATAAGTTCTGGACACCCGCGTTCGGAGAAGGGCATACATTGCTGCATTTGAGTTCATAAATGATCAAAGCGCAAGGACCTAAAATAAAGAGCAGTCACTAGCACATCAGACAATACATGTTTATAACGCTTAATTGTCCCCAAACTTATTATATCAATGTCTCTTTATGTTTTGTGATTAAGCATCTTTGTCTAACCTGTAATTGAAGAAAAAGTCAAATTCGGACATAATCAGGCATTAACAAGCTTTCCTGTGAGAAGGATTCAGAGCAAACTTTTGGAGAGAGTTAACTCTTTTACCTTACACATCTCTACACGCTATCATACAAGAGTTATCTATGTAACAACTTCAGCACTCCCAGGTTGTGTTTTAAAAACTTTATGTTATCAATTGAATTTTCTGATTTCATTTTACATTATTATATTGCACTTTAAACTAATACTGCAAGTCTCAGATAATAGAACACAGCACTAGGCGACGAGAGACGTAATTTCCCAAGTTAACAATGTTCTTCCTGTTATTTTCTTAGGTGGGTGTAATACATGTAGATACACAAAGTGGGAATGGAACCTCTTTCAAGTCATCATAAATCTATCATCAAAATCTGTAGAATGGGATGACAGGCTTTGTATTATATAACAACTGTTCTGATTTCTCATCTGGCTCCAGCAGTTTTGATTGGTCAGAATCTGCAGACCCCTTAGAAGGATCAATAGTGTTAATGTTGTCATCTTGTGTTGTAGATATGTTTAAATAGTCTGAGGCTTGAGAGTCTAGTCTGGGATTATTAGCATGCTGTTGGTGGAGTCTTAATTCTGGGCAGAGTTCTAGCAGGTATAGTTCTAATATGACCTGAAATTAGAAAAATATGAATTGAAAATACTGAACATGTCAACAGTCAGCAGTAAACTCAATGTAAATACACATGTAGATGCATCCCATCCCATCCCCTTCCTTGGTCACCCCTAATTCAAAAACCTGCATCAGCCTCTGTCAGTAATTATGAAATCATTTACAGAAAATATTCAAGTACATATTTGATGAGATGTTAAGGAGGTCTGATGGCAAGCGCCCACATTTTTTGAGTTAAATTTTGATGGATTGGAATCGAATTATATCTGCAAAACATGCAAAGGTAAATTCACTGGTACTGTCAGGGATTGAGCCAAGGTTCTGAGAGCAGCTGATCAATATGGCATAATGGACCAGTTACCATGCTATTATCCTATACCTTGCGAAAAATCAACTGCTCCGTATCAAAAGTAACCTGGCAATGAACAGTGGACGAGCCCTTAGCTCAAGCACAACCATGTACTGGCCATAACAGACTGATGACACATTATTTTACAAGAGTGAGTTTTTTACACTTTCTATTTTGAAACATGGCTATTCAATGATCACATAGCTAGAAAGAAACTTACATAGAAAAGTTGTTTATTTCTTCTGACATCTTGAAAAACTTCAAAAATCTTCACCGTGCCTCTAACAGAATTATCTTCCCCAACCAGGTTCTTCAACGCATCTAAAATATCGAGGGAATTAATGTTACTCTTGTATCAAATCTCTGGACTCCTCTTTGGGGGAGGTGAAAGTTACGAGGGCTTGAAGCTAGACTATGCTAATACAGACTGACACTATACTTGTTCATGAACTGTGATATAGATTTTTTATCATAGTTGAATATATATTACATTTGAGAAAATGTTCATTTCCAATATCTCTGTACCGGAATATCATGCTTTTAATTTTCAGTTTTAGTGGGATGATTAATTTTACTGAGAATAGACTTTTATAATGTAATTACATAGTACAGGGTGATCAAAACAATGCGACCCTATAATCTTGGAATAATTCTAAATGCTCTTTCTACACAAGAACATTCAAGAATATTCCAAACAAAATTGAGAAATGTGCATGTATTCTAAAAACAAAGTATATACTTTAAAATATGTCTTATTAAACAACGCAACATACCTGGAATGTTTTCAAGGCATAAATCTTTAGCATGAAGTCTTGTTTTCAGCTTCTCCTCATCTGACCTCTCAGGAAGAGCTGGAGCTAGTTGACCCTAATATGAAAAACATACGATATGACGATATGATCCTCATTGGAATAAAAAACTATTATAGAGGCTGTGCTTATAGAAATACTGTAGATGATTTTGCGCTTAGATGTGCAATCTTTACATTGATATTATTACAATAACAATTATTTTTAAGACATCTGTATATATGAGTTTAGAGGAATGTGCATACATATTACAAATGAAACACTAAGTAGTTAATTGTCTAAATATGACATGCCAGACCCTCATTCTAAAAAAGGTTTACACAAGTATTAAGGGGCTTTAAATGAAGATTCCTCATCTTGGAAAGTAATTGAAAATTATAAAAAATAATCATAGTATATTTGTTTGAATGAAGATAAACACCTTGTTAACACCTTGTGAAACAGACAAACACATAATCTAGATATTACTCTATACAGGGTGACACAAAAATACAATGATCTAATTCTAGAATAGCTCTTTCAATTATGATGAAATCTTCATGACTCATCTGATCTTCATGATCTCCCCAACTGCACACAATAATATTGTTTTATGCATTCAAAAACTTCACAAAAAGAGAATTCTATTGTAATTGAAGGTTAAAATTTTGTTTCACCCTGTATTTTCAGTTAGATAATAGGGTAGCATATTTTGATTCACCCTGTATTCCTAGATAGATAAACATATACAGTACCTGGGGCCATAAGGAGTCTCTGAACAGATGTATATAGTATATCAACATTGACTCACAGAACAACCAATCAACAGTCTCTCTGAGTTGTCTGAAAAATAGAACAAGCGACATTAATAAAGTAAAACATGTCATAACTAACCTTCATAATCATAACCCCTTCTATATTTTTCA